CTTCTCTTTGAAAATGAAAACATCCAATGAAGATTAAAAAGGACTAAGCCATTTGATCTTCCCTAATGACTCATTAGTAATGAGTAACAGTGAAATAGTGAAAATTAATAGTGTCTTCTGATAACCAATGGGCGACCAGAAGATTAGTCACTTTAGTGTTTAGTTTTTAAGAATTTAATATACCTAGATAAACTAATGGTTGGTCAATGATGACCAATTTTAATGTATATTTAAAAAAAATGATTGTTAATAAATATTATTAAACTTACAATATCAGTTGTTGGCATTTTTTTATCTTTTCCATGCTTTTTCTCAATAACCTCTTTAAGTTTGTCTTCATCCCAATTTTCCATGGTATCATCATCATCTTTGTCTCGCATATCAACGTATAAAGAACGTTTCTCTGCTTTCCTTTCTATTGATAAATCATGGGAGAATTTGCATTTGTCTCCTTTGCCACATTGTCCTTGTTTGAAAAAGGCGCAAACGATTGATTTGGGATCAGCACCTTTTTCAATTTTTTGAGTTTGAACCGGCTTAAAGAGGGCGGCTAATTCTTTTTGATCTTTTAATTTTTTCTCTTTCTCTAATTTCTTGGCATCTTCTTTTACTGGGTGATGACCCCCTGTTTTTACTTGCTTCTCAACTTGTTGAATAAATTTTTGTTGTTTGGCCCCTTTCTTATTCTTCAAACCGAACGTTTTATCCTAAAATGATGATAAATATGAAGTTGAAATTTAATAGTCTTTGTTTCAAATAAATTAATTAAAATAAGGGGTTAAGAATGGGAATTTCTAACCTCAATAACTTTCTCTTTCTTTTTTTGCTCAGTTTTTTTACTTGGAGCTGCCGGTTTTGGTTTCGGTGGCATTTTTACATTAAATTAATTGCGAAAAAAAAATTAATAAATTAATTTAAAGCTTAATTCCATTTAATATTTAATCCACATGCACCGAATTGACCAAAATCTTGCAATATGTCAAGCACCAACTGAAATAATTTTGACAGATTTGACGCAACTCACTTCATGATAAACTTAATTTAAATCACCGAAAGAAATTTATTGTATGTTTAAAAAAATAAAATTAATTAATTTAATATTTAACATTTAATCCCATTTTTGTAAATTAATAAATAAGAAATTATTTTAAAACAATTTAAAAATCATTAAATTCAAACGCATTCGTATCTTTATTGATTCATTATGTTGGTGCCTCTGAAAACCCCAAATCATTGACATCTCTAATAATCAATAAGTTCACCTTCACATTTTCCATCTTTATTTAATCTTAAGCTTTTATGTATTTCTATCTTTTTTTAACATGTTGGAATCGTAAATATTTTCGGGTTAAAAACGTCGACTTTAAGATTATCGGCAAAAACAAAGTATTGAAAGAAAATGGTTATTCGCTTCGAAGCACTTGTCAAGTGATATCAAATATTGTCAATATAAAACGTTTCGGACTCGATATTCCTTTAAAAACCAGTTAAAGTGGTGAAGTAATGTTCCAAGCTTATACGCAATCGTAAGTTTAAGTCTACAAAATGATTATACAGGAACCAGTGCAGGTAAGTTGAAATAGATAACCTTAAAATGGCGTTGAGATGGGTTTTTTATGATTTAAACGAGCAAATTTGGTTTTAGGCGGCGATATGGCACTGTTTGAACCACTATGATTATTCGGACGCGATTTTTCTTTCAGAGAGACTCTACGCAGAAGGTAAATTAATTAGTTTAAAAAAAAATCTGTGTCAAACTAATTTTATTTATTTCCTTTGTAGTTAAATCAGATGAAACTTTGTTTTTATTAGCCACGGCGTATTTTAGAAACAGTCAAATCGATCATGCTTACAATATCTTAAAGGACAAACATGGGTATAATCCCCAATGTAAATATTTATTTGCTAAATGTGCCTACGAATTACAAAAGTAAGTATTTGTTTTAATAATAAGGTTGTTTTTACAAATCATTAATGTTTTTTTAGATATTTTGACGCTGAAACAGTACTTTTAGAACACATTTCTTGCCCAACTAACAATTACGACGATCTGATTATGGAGTATGGTGATCAAGCAGCTTTTGTATTCCTCCTTTTAGCTAAAATAGCGATTAAGACTGAACGAAAACAAAAAGCAGTGGAAGCTTTAAAGCGGGCCTTGAAAATAAATCCATTTTTATGGTCTGGGTTTGAAGGTCTTTGTAAAATTGGTGAGAAACCGGATCCGAACGTTGTTTTCCAACTGGGGGAATTAGATAATTTATCAAAGTGCCACGGAAATAATTTAAATAATATTGAAAGCATGATTATTGCCAATACACCAAATCAGGAGAGTGTACAGTACATTATGACGCCTCCTCAAATTTTAACTAGTCCAAATCCTTCTACGAATAATCTTATTAATAAAATGTTGTTTACCCCGGAAGAAAGTAACGCCCCAAATAATATTATGTTATCTGGAATTAGTGTTTTACCCAATTCAAGGTTTAAAACGTTCAAAAATAAGATGTTGGATGATCATAACTCATCAATTGTAAGTTAATTGTTTTAACCATTTGAGCATGATTGCACCTATCTCCTGATCCTTATGGCCTCTTCCTAGGTCTTCCCATCTTTTTCTTATCCTTATTCTTTGCTTCAAATACCTTTTTTTTTATTATTGTATTATGTTCCATTTAAATTATGTGGACTTTCTCTTTATGTTGCTGATTATCTCCTCTTGATTTTCGTCTCACAGAATAGAATTAAAACCAGCCATATAAGTTCATATTTAGAAGCAGAGATAATTGGGCCTCAACTAAAAAGAGTAGCCCTAGCCTGGTACACCAATGCTTCAAAGACAATTAGATCTGGAGTAGGTATGGGCATCAGTGGACCAAATAGCCATATTAAACTGCCCCTTAGCTCTTACATAACAATTTTTCAAGCAGAAGTTCTTGCTATAAACTTCTGCACCGCTTTGAACCTACAGAAAGGTGCATCCATAAACATTTTCACAGACAGTTGGGCCGCGTTAAAGTGAATTCAGGTCCAACCTGAGGGAACTCGCTGTTGGCAATGATGTTACCCTATGGTGGGTTCCAGGTCACAGCAACATTGAGGGCAATGAAACATGAATGAAACATTGAATGAACACACCCTTCATTGGAGCCCAACCTGATTGTGGACTATAAAAAAAGCCACTTAAAACAAATAATCAACAGTTGGGAGGTTTCAAAGGTAACCTTACGCTGGAAAGAACGTCCAGGTCCCAGACAAGCGAAGAGAGAACAAAACCCAAGAGGTTTTATGCCTTAGCAAAGGGGATCTAGGAACGCTCTCAGCTTACCTGACCGGCCATGCGCCCCTAAAATACACCTCTTCCACATTGGACAAGCTGACGATTGACTTTGCAACAACGAATCAGAAATAGCTGAACATATATTGTGCAATTGCGTCGCCAGAGGCCGTCTAAGACACAAAATTTTCAGTAAAACTCTCTTGACACCTACCGACATAAAGGTTCAAGACTTCTGGACAATACTAAGGTTCATCAAGGACCTGCAATGCCCTAACTTTTGGAGGACTAAAGTTACAATAAATCTTATAGGTCGCGGTAACGAAAGGTGCTGCTCCCCTCTGCCCAACAATAATAATAATAATCCCACTTCGTCTTCTCCACTATTTTCTGTAAAAATTTCATTACCATTGCTGTGATCTTTCCTTCTTGTTTATCTTGGGGTGTCCATAATTCACTGGCATATGTTAATATTTAAGTTGTACACTTTCAATTTTATCTTTTTATCTATCTCCCTCTTCCCGAAAATTGTTGTTTAAAGTATGATACACTGCCCAAGTACTTATATGATGATCCTTCTTCTTTTTTTGTTCCTTAATAAATATTTCTTTCGGGTTATTTATTTATGGTCAATAAACAACCTAAGCCTTGACGTCATAGAAATGGGCGGAGCTTATACTGATTCCAAATATTTTCGTTGCTAACGGTAAATCACCATATGCAATTTTTCATTAGTGTTAAAATAAAATAAACTAAGTGATGACATTTCAAATGAGATTTTTTGGCGATTTATCGTTAGCAACTGTGGTTAGCAACGAAATTGTTTGGAGTCAGTATAAGCTCCGCCCATCTCTGCGACGTCAGACTTAGGCAGTCTATAGACAAGCTAAACCTTGACGTCATAGAGATGGGCGGAGCTTATACTGACTCCAAACATTTTCATTGCTATAGTACAAACCACGAGAGCTGGCAGTGACAGATCGCTTAAAAATGGTATGAATCAAGATATGGACGTACGACTTAGATTATTTCACCACATACATTTAAATGTAGGTTATATTAGTAATGGAGGTTATATGTCAAACATTGTCAAAGATATTATTTAATGATTTTCCTTTCAAAGAAAACATTAACAAATTCATGACAACGCTCACAAGACGTTTCGATTTGAGGTTATAATTATAGAGTTACATCCCTTAGAAGAACAGACGTACTTTTTCGACGTGGCCATTTGAATTGTACAGCAGACATATTAAACTAATGCTATCTCTTTCTAACACACATTACTCTCTAGCGGTTTGTGAACTACGTATGGCATTTGTAAGAGCGGAAAACGTTGATTTACTGCCAGCTCTCGTGGCGTCTACTATAACTGTGTTGCTAACGGTAAATCACCATATGCAATTTTTCATTAGTGTTAAAATAAACTAAATGATGACATTTCAAATGACATTTTTTGGCGATTTATCGTTAGCAACTGTGGTTTGCAACGAAATTGTTTGAACTCAGTATAAGCTCCGCCCATCTCTGTGGCGTCAGACTTTGGCAGTCTATTCTAGGCCCATCTTTTCAATTTCTTCTATCCATATTTCAGTCAACTTCCTTGCCTTTTTATGGTTCTTTGCTATCAGCACTATGCCGTCAGCATATAATAAATTATCTATTTTTACTGGTTCCAAACTTTTATAACCTATTACTGTTTGATATTTATTTGTTCTTGTTCTTGTATTTTTTATCACTCTGTCCATTAATACTATAAATAACAAGGGGCTTACATTATATTACATAGACTACATATCGGGTAGGCGGACCAACCAACTTTGCATGGTGACCCTAAGGATCTATGGGTCGCATCTCACCGTGCAGTCCAATGCTCTTAATTAACATTAATCCCTTGCTCGGTGAAAGGTTATTCAGATCCTTTTGTAAGATAAATTGCGACCCAAAAATCGAGAATCTGATACGATTAACGGCAGGGCAATAGCATAAAACATGCTCAACCGTCTCTGATTCCTCTGCACATAGTCGGCATTCAACATCAACGTCCCTAAACCCAACAAGTTGGGGTGTGCTTTTAATCGGCATTGCCCAGTAAAGACACCCATTAGAACTTTTATGCTGCTACGGGCAAGTCCTAAAATATTCCCGGGTTTGACGGTGGCGATGTTAATAAAGTGGTCCACAGCAGGCGAAGTCTCTCTTCAGCCCACAGTCCAATCCTATATTTGGCCATCGCAAGTGATACACCAACTGCTGGTTCCGGTCCCACAAACGCTTTAGGGCTGCCCTCTCGTGCTAGCTCATCTGCCGCTTCATTGCCAGCAATCCCAGAGTGACTCGGGACCCAGATCAGAGAAACTCTGTTATCACAACTCAGTGTGTTTAATGTTCTCTTACAATCATTAACCAGAGCCGACACCGTTTTCACGGCTTTCAGCGCCTGGAGAGCGGCTTGACTGTCTGAGAAAATTTGTACTGTCATTGGTAGGACATGTCGGAACAGTTTTGAGCATATTGCTTAAATCTGTAAATGGTTTCTCTATATGCAAATGCAGATGAGATAGGACAAGCAGAACTTCCATTGCTAGAGTTGGTGTTGTGCTTATCGCACCAGAAATTGCCAATCCAGCTGCCCGTTCAATTCTTGAAGTCTGTCGGACTTTCCTATACCAGGCTGCTGCTCCGTATGTGATAATAGGTTTTCCATAAAGACTGCGACGAGTCCACAAGGATAAAACTCCCTGCAAATGTCCATTCTATGACAAGGTTTTGTCTAGGATTACTCCTAGATATTTGACTTCCTTTGAGAAAGAAATTTCTTCACCTTGGATAGTTGGGCGGATTAGCCCATCCAACTTTCGTTTCCTAGTGAAGGGCACAACAATTGTCTTTTGCGGGTTTATCGAGAGGATTTCTCGCTTACACCAAGCGCAAATAGTACCTAGGGTCACCTAGAGGATAGATATCCTCGACAAACAGGTTCCTTTGACCATAATGACAATATCATCAGCGTAAGCCTGTATTTCTACACCAACGGCTTCGACTATCGCAATCAGATCGTCAACCAAGAGGGACCAAAGCAAGGGAGATAACACCCCCGCCTGAAGCGTATCGTATCAGCGTGGAGTGAAGTAGAAACTATTCTACTATCAAGCATATTGCGGATCCAACCCGCTATAGTTGCTTCCACTCCCCTGTCAAGAGCAGCTCTTTCAAGAGGCTTAGGCTATCACCTTATTTTATTCCCTTGCTCATTACTACTATCCGTGCAAAAAGTCAAGGCCCCTCACTTTAGAGATCGATATCTTCGCAACCGCTCGATAACAAAAATTGCGACAAAGTTTGCTGTAATCACTGAACATTTCTACGTAACATATGTTAATTTGAAAATTTTCGGATTCACGGTTTTCTTTTTATCGCGAGTTAAATGAAAAAAGTACCCGATTTTTGAGGGTGCCAGCAACTTTGTCAACTTTGCGATTTTTTTTCTCGAAAACTATCATACGAAAAAAAATTGAATTTTGAACAGGTGGTAGCGTGATGTGTTCTTAATGAGTGGCATAATTTATTTTTTCGATATTCCATACACTTTCGCGGAAAATCGCGGTTTAGTAGGAAGCGGTTATTTCGAAAACGGCTGGATGGATTTCCTCGAGGATTTCACCAAAATATCTCAAATAATGCCGATTGTCGGATTCCGTTATCAGTTTTTCAAAATTAGGGCTCCTTAATTTTTTAAGAGCGATTTAATGGAATTAAAAATTAAAGAGAAACAGAAATAAGCTATGCGGGGAGAGCAGGGTTCCGACCAATCGGAACAGATGGTGTGTCCCAGACAGTACGTCGCGCCTTTATCTTACCTACATAAAGAAATAAGGCGCGACGTCCTGTCTGGGACGCACCATCTGTTCCGATTAGACAGAACCCCGTCACCCCGCAAAGCTTATTTCTGTCTCTCTTTAATTTGTAATTCCATTAAATCGCTCTTATCGTTATCTCGAACTGATAACGGAATTCGACAACCGACATTATTTGACATATTTTGGTAAAAATCGCGTTGAAATCCGACAGGTCGTTTTCGAAATAACCGCTTCCTACTAAACCGCGATTTTCCGCGAAACTATATGGAATATCGAAAAAATAAGATATGCCCCACATTAAAAACACATTGTTTTACCACCAGTTCAAATTAGAAATTTTTTCGTCGAATAGTTTTGGAGAAAAAAAATCGCAAAGTAGACAAAGTTGTTGGCATT